GTTTTTTCATCATATCACATTTTTCATGGAATAGTCCCTTTCTTTGCTGTAAAAATATATCACTGTACTTAATTTGTGTACTTAATTCAGTTACAGTTTGCTCTTCTTTTAATGCGGGTCCATGTCAATGTGCATGTCAGCTTTTAGCAGATTCATTATTTATATACTAAAACATGGAAGGTCTTAAGATTACTTAAAGAGAGTTTAAATTGAAGTAGAGTGTATGCTTGGTTATATGGGTGTGATTTGTGACATTAAGATAACATTATTTTATCCTAACCATAAAAATGCTATATTGCAGATTTGCATACTCATATATTGGCTCGTTGAGGTTTTAGTTTATTGCATGTGTTTGGGGGCTGCAGTTAAAGACCTTGTTACATATGCAGTGCATTTACTGAAACCCCTATCATGTAAGCTTATCTGTCAGTTTTTCAAAGAAAAACATTCAATTTGTGTGTTTCAGTAGGAATAGAAGAATAAAGTACAAACCACTTTGATTGTATCAATATGTGTTATCTTACCGTGGTTGTAACTCCAGGTAAACATGAGGTTAAGATGTTTGTTCTATATCTTAGGGACCAGTAAAATATCACAGAAGGTAAAAATAGACAAATGCTTGTAAACAGCTTTACTACCTATACTACAGAGAGGCATTTCATATACTGTAGTCTTAAGTACTGGAATGACTTACCCAGATAAAACAATTCTAAAACGATCAAAGCAGTCCAAAACCAAGAAAAAATTGAAATGAACTCATTAAAAAACTGATGAAGATGTCCACAATTGATTAATTCTGGCTCCGTAATGGTTATTTCGTAAACAAAACTGTTTTAGGTTAGTACTTTGATTAAAGGTGTCTCAGCCTAGTATTTTCTTTTTGCATGTGAATGGGTTTGAATTAATTTCTGTTTAGTGCATCTTGCAAAATCTTTTTTTTCTCTAATCCAAATCAGATATTGAACAAGCTTGGGGTTTTGGTACCTAGCCACATGTTTTCTGGGAGTCAGGAAACAAAGAGATTTCTTTGATGTCCAATTTTGCCATATAAAGTCTTGAAGGGTTTTAAGCTACATTCTTTTGGCACTAAATTAAAATGAGAGAAATTAAGAGTTGAGCTCATGTGTCTTTTGTGATGTCTTGTGCTGAACCCAAAGGTGTTGATGCATACAATCAGTCATCGCTGAGCCATGACACTTTCGTTGCATGACTGAAACTGTAAAGCCTGTTTCTCTTATTGTAAGCTCATTGCTTTGCACATGCAAATGCATAAGCTTGCTTTTTGTACATTGCATGCAGCCACCATTTATTTAAGTTGGTTTTTAGGAGATAACGCTAAGAGTTTGAGTGATTTTAGATGTGCAAAAACAGTACATAAACTCTTAACATGTTCAAGAAGCATATCTCAGAATTTCATATTATATACGACAATGCATATTTGAGTAAAAATACATTTTTTAGACTATGCCTCTAGAAAATCCACACTCAGTTAGGATCATTTGTGAGAAAGGCGCAGTGGGTTGATTATGTATGCATACTGGAATTGACCAGCCACAGGAGCAGTAGTCAATTCAAAGTTCAAGCTGGGGCTTTCCCATTTATATAGTCAAGCAGGTACACAAAAGCATTTCCTGAGGAGTGATACCACTCCACTGGAGTAGTTAACATATTTGTGCAATAAGGCATTCAGCAAAGATATCACAGGACAAAGACTGCTTATTTACAACTCCAGATATCCACTCCCCACTAGTCCTTGAACATTATTTTTAAGTCCAGCACAATTTCAGCTCCGCAAATCTTATCTGACAACTTCTGTTGGCAATTTCTCTGCCCACAATATGCTCTTAACCCTTTCCTTCATGCCTAAGTCTGTTCAGACCGGTTAAATCTTATTTTTTTTAAAGTATCATAAACCCTTTAGAAATTACAAGGTTTATGTTAACAGCAAGTGCCTAATTAGTTGTGGGGTAGCCTAATTTTACAGCTGAGTGCTTTAAAAGAGAATCTGAAATTACCCAACCCCTAATAATGAATGATTTATAAGGACTGTAAATGTTTGCACACAGACTTGTCAGTAAAAGCCTCCGAAAACCAAATTACAAAAATTAATTCCGTCATGTAAAGAATTGGTTGCATTAAGTATGTTATTATCTCTCTATTCAAGTTCAACATTAAATGTTAAAACTAGCAATGTGTTAAAACTGCATGTTTGTAATGAGGGAAAACAATTAGAGTATAGATGGACTGTTCTTCTTTGTAATCTTGAAACGTGGACTGTCAATAACATTTTGAATGGGCAATTGAGCTGTTAGTTTACTGCTCTGTTTTTTAGTTCAATTGAAGGCATTAATGCTCAAACTGTTTGTGCAGCTAAGGATATTGATTTTTTCAGTAACATGAATTCATTACTAGGCCATGTATGGTAGCAAACAAGGAGGTTTAAAAATGTAAGTAGATTTGCAAAAATCACTGTACAACTCATACAAAATAACAAAAGAAATGAATGTTATCATTATCAAAGTGGATTTTCTATGTCAAAAGTTCTTCAGAATTTTAGAATCTAAAATAGCCAGCAGCCATATCACCCTGCAACTCACAACTGGCAACCCACTAAAGCTAAGCAGGTGTGAGCCTGGTCAGTACCTGGATGGGAGACCTCCTGGGAAAAACTAAGGTTGCTGCTGAAAGAGGTGTTTGTGGGGCCACCAGGGGGCGCTCACCCTGTGATCAATGTGGGTCCTAATGCCCCAGTATGATGATGGAGACACTATACTGTAAACAGGCACCGTCCGTCAGATGAGATGTAAAACCGAGGTCCTGACCCTCTGTGGTCATTAAATAGAGCATTTCTTGAAAAGAGTAGGGGTGTAACCCCAGCGTCCTGGCCAAATTTCCCATTGGCCCTTACCAATCTTGGCCTCCTAATAATCCCCATCTATGAATTGGCTGCATTACTTTTCTCTGTTTCTTGCGTTTGTGATATATTAAGCATAGATAATTCTGTTTTTTTTTCAGCTAGAATTAAAAACGTTTTTCTTGTCTAACGATTGTTCATAAGAATTTTGAACACCTTTTTATAGAACATTTACAGGAGATAAAACCATTGGACTTTTCTATTGAACAACTAAAAATGTTGATGGTGGCAGAAAGTCAATATTTTGTTTCCTAACGTGCTTCAGAATGAGATGTGGAGTATTTTAATTCTAAAGAAAGCTTGGAAATCTAATGGGTTTAATCAACTAAATTATTTTTTGTAATTCTTTGTTTTGTGTTTTATTGTACAAGTTAAGTGTTCACAAAATAACCCTCAGGACAGAGGGCTCTTAAAGCTGGTGAAATTATGTATTGTTATATTGAGGTGCTCAATATAATACTGCGGTCATGTTCTCTATAACATTTTTCTTTACAGGAAAGAAGCCACAAGTCATATCGGCCACTGACAGTCCTTACCTTCAGACTGAACTACATGTTTAGTGAGCTCAGTGCAATGTCTTATCATCTCCTGAATCTGCTGCTCCACGCTGTTGTCTGTATCATTTTCCTTCGGGTCTGTCGGCTCTTTTTGGATAAGAAATCGAGCCTGGTAGCGGCCTTGCTTTTTGCCGTTCATCCAATTCACACAGAAGCTGTAAGTTTTTATTTTATTCATTTTTGCTAACCTACGTTGTGTATACACTTAATGTTAAATTTCTGTTATAATGTAATAATCTGTTGCTTTTTCCTGAAAGTCCTTTTCTAATTTGCAAATTATATGAGAGACAAGTAATGGTGGAAAAGCTTTCTGATCCATTTTTGTAGTTCTGCAGGCTTCTATTAAGCTTATGAGGAAAGAAGTATTCTAAATTTAGTTCATCAAGAACTCAGCTACCACTTACTAGAGTGAGAGTTCAGTAAACACTGTCAATTAATTATAGTTTTATGAACATTACAAATCATGTTTAATCCTTAGTAATTGTAGACATGGTAGTGTCTTGCCACAGGAGGGCAGTCGTGCTTTCTTGCAAGTTTGATCATTTTCTCTGGGATGTTTTTTCTCTTTTATGCAAGGCAATTATGTTTTCACGCCTTTGCCCACAAAAATAATGTTTTCTGTATGTGTGATAACGGCATTTCATTCCCGTAATGTAGGATCAGACCTGACTAAGTTAGTTTCATTTTGTAGTACCCTTTTAGGACTAAAATGTACTTTTGTGTTAGACTGAAAGGCCTTTTGCTTTTATCCTGACTTTGAAGTAGTTTTGAAGCAAGACTTGAACATGGTAAAAAAAAATAGAATAGCTTTCAATAAACAATACTGTACAGCATATGATTTACCATTTTTCCCATGTGATTTGGATGTTATTATTTTCATTAGTATGGCTATGGTGAAATATTTTGGAACACCCTTAGAATTTTACAGAAGTGGATGTTTGTAGTAGCAGGAGGGCTGTATAATTCTAGTATCTTGCCCTGTAGCATTTACATTCATTCTGGCACTAGGCCCATTCGTTAACATTCGGTTTTGCTTATTTGCTTTGTAATTGTACCATGAAATAAATGATTGTACATTGTGTGGAAATTGTTGGGGTTGTGCAAATTGTTTGCAAAAGACAAATGTTCATTCAGGTATTTGTTGGTTTGCTCAGCTGTCATAGCTGTGGGAACAGTTTTAGTTGTACCACGAAACACTTCAAATCATAGTCTTTTGTTCTAGAGTGGATACCTACAGGCAAATGGCTTTGACAAGGTAGAGTAGTTCATCGGGAAAGTCCTCATTGTCATTCATATTTGGCAACTATAATTTGTGATTAACCCTTTTTTTTAACAGACTCATGAGTAGGTTTGTTTGAACATATGAATATTTTTCCTTGCATGACTAACACTACAACTGATGTTAAAAAATTAACAAGATGAATTGGAGGTTTTCAGTTGTGTATGAGTGTTGTAGACAAATCATGGGCATTACTTCAAAGAATTATCTGTAGGTTTTATCTGTTAAATTTAATTTTAGTCCCTGTCCTGTGTGTAAAATCAAAACCTTAATGGCATTTAATGATGCATTAGTAGTGAGAAGTAAATGCACAAAAACATAATTGTGATACTACTACTAACTCATGAGTATATTTACAATATTATGTTTTTCATTTCTTTTGGATACTTTTTAAAACTAAATTAACTTAACCTTTAAAACAAAATATTGGGGTTATTATATTGATACCTTCAGAAAAAAGCCAGTGGATTTTAGTTATCTAGATATATAGTTAATAGCGCCATTAAATACCTGACGGAAGGTAAAACAATAATATTCAAAAAGGTTTTCATTTCATCACAACTGGAAGGATGACGCATTTAGAGGAAGGACGGCACACTTGAAAATATATTTATGAAAATAAAAAAAATCAAGTGTTAATGTGATTCAGTTTTACCAAAATTTTATCATGCAAAATCTGGATTTAAGTTGTCTTATGAATATTAATGACTTGTACTATTCAAAGTAAATTGTTAGTGATAGTATGTGGGGAAGAAAAAAATGTTTACTGTTTAATTGTAAAAATGAAAAACTCTTTATCTCAAAAAGCTTCATGGGATCATTACTTATGATCTGCTGTGATAGCTAAAATGTTACTTAAAAGTGAGAAAGTAGGAGAAGACCAGGCATGAGTTGCATCAGTATGGGAAAGGAGGTTGATGTAAATGGTCTAAGAGGTACAGTATGTGATTTTGTGACATGCCTCTGGCATTGCTTGAAGTAACATCAGACCTGTGTAATGTGTCAGTTCAGACAGCCTCAAGGGTTCACAGGCAGTTGTAGGAGCTAAATGCAGACCAACCTGATTATACGGAAGTCTAGATTTTCTTTTTTGAGCAATATATATTGTAATAACTTAGGGAGTGTGCATTCATTGACACATACAGTAAGTAGAATTAAAGTGAAAAACTATGTCTAAACTCCTGCTTGTGTAGCAAGCAGTTTGATTAAAGCATTTATCACTTCCCTCTATAATCAGGAAAAGGTAAGTGTGGTCCTTTCTTCTTACCTGGCACAGCATGGTTTCAGAGTAAAGGACAGGCAACAAGTTTGAACACATTTTTGTAATAAATAGAAATTAAACACAAAATACAAACATAGACTATTCTGTGCAGATTCTTTATAGATCCAGCATGTCCGTTCTAGAGCTAACTTCATTCATTGCCTCAAAAATGGATGAGCCATAATGCAAATTAACCACATGATAGTTGTTTAAGCAGACCCTTCAGCTTTCTCTCTAAAACAAATGCTAAGTGAGGAAAACTATTTCTCTAAATCACATAAATACATCACAGATACAAGCTATTACTGGCAGGTCCTATAAGGAAATCTTCACTCAAAGCTAAAACCAAGCTCTGGTCTCTCTAGTGCTTAAATTAACTGACAGGGTAAAGTCACTACACTTTGAACCTATTTTGCAGGGACTGAACCCTATGGAAAGGTGGAACTCAGATGTGGCATTTTTGATTGTTCAGTTCTAGGTGATGAAAGGGTCAGTTGTGAATAACTGCTAACCTACGTTGGCAGTAGGTAACCTACGTTACCTAATAGGTTCAAAGTGTAGTGACTTTACCCTGTCAACATCTCTAATGTTCTAAGATAGACTTCTAAACTTCCCAGTCACTTTAGTCTGCTACTAATTTGTTTGGACATCTTTCACATAGGTCTCCAGCTGTTCCTACCCCCCATTCAAAGGCAGTACATTTAGTATTTGTGGCTAAACGTAACCTTCAGTTCCAGTTTTCTTTTCCAAGGGCTGAAAAAGTGACACTGAATTGACCTGGGTGGTGAACAGAATGTACAATTGTGTAGTAAGTTTACCCTGACACACAATATTGGATGTTAGCAATAGAATGTTTTTGTTTTAAAAGATATTTTAATTTTACTATAAAGTTAAGATAGAAATGTTTAGGGAAAATGTGTAATTTGTTGAATCTTTATATTTGTTTTATTAAAGGTTACCGGGGTGGTTGGGAGAGCTGAACTTTTGTCATCTATATTCTTGCTAGCTGCATTTTTGTCCTACACCAAATCCAAAGGTTCAGACAATTCAATTGGTAAGTTTACTACAAAATCTGATTTCATGTTGTAATACTAAATACACTGAATTATAGCGTCTGTCAGAGTTATTCTAAATGGTAAGTAATCTCATTTAATGAAAAGGCTTGTATCCAATAAATGCTTCTTATTTGTTACTAAGTATGACAAAGTTTAAGATTTTAAGAAAGGTTACAGCTGAGAGGCTGATTGGCCCATCCACTTTTTTTGTTAGGTAGAAGTTAATTAATCCAAAGATCTTATTCAGTTGTCTCCTGAGCAAAGTCAGTAGAAAGAAACCAGCTTTGACAATATGACTGGTATAACGTGTTCCAGATTCCCACAGTCTTTTTCCTGGTATTTTTAATATAGTGTTTTAATATTTAAGTTTGAATTTAATTTGATATCCCAGGTATGACAGGCTGTTTCTCCAGGTTCTTAATCTCTAAATGAGACTTTCAGAGGTGACTGATAATTTGTTTCCTTTTTTTAACTTTCCAATTTTGCTGGATACACTCATACTGTACATCTTCCTATTCATAACAGGAGTTCTAAAGTCAAAACAAATGCTCCCTTAAGAAATGTTATCAGCTCAATAGCACCGCTTCTTTTTTTAGTAATTATTGGTGACATCATTGGGGTGAATACTTTTGCATGTACCAGAATTCTTTAGAGAGAATGTCGAAACCCTACTTTGCTTAGTTTATTTTTAAAGCTTTCATAGGTGGGAGAACATTTTAATAACTATTAGAGCACATATATTAATAGTCCTTATTTTTTCCTTTACATGTCATGTCATATCCAGAAAACTGAAACTTGTATATAAGCTTTATCAATTCTGATTCTGATTATCAATTGAGTAATATTTGTAAAATACCAATTAAACAGTATTGTTCAATATTGTTGTAGTACTGTAGTTGTTTGATCACTTTCTCAAGATGTCTCATCTTTGGGTTTCTGCCTCTTTGTACCAAAATCACTAAATATTAAAGTCTCTAATTTGTCTTCTTGCTTTAACAATAGTTGATGTTTGGCAAGATGCTAGCATTGGAACTTTGGACTGTCTAGATGTGTCAACAAATTAAAAATAATAATTCAGAAAAGTAGGTGGTTAAAAAGTTAGAGACATTTGGGACCCCTCCCCAAAGTTTTTATTGTACATTATATTGAGCAATAAATATGATACTTATTGAGCAAGAAAGCTGTCAGATGCAAAGGATATTTTGTCTGGAGTTGTTGAACTTGTCTTCAAAAGAGTCTAAATTCTGACATGATGCCTTTTGACCCATATTAATCAGTAAAACCTCGGGGATCCCTGTAACACCCTTAGGGGAAAATAGTGCCACAGCAGATTTACGTGCACATTAAGACAAGGTTGCTCAATAAATCAAAGGAATATGCGTTTTAAAAAGAAAAAAAAAACACTTGGAAGTGCCATTAGGTGACAGCCCTATTGTTATTAAGCAAGAGTCACAGAATTAATTTCAGAGTAAGGTTATTATAGTGTGTTTGGTAAGTGTTATGCTTGTTGCCGAGAGGAAAAGTTCATCTACTCTGGGGCACCAAATAGTGAACTAACTTTTAAATAGTCTACACACCATTTACAATTACAGTTAAGTGGGCTAGAAAATATAATGTGTAATGTTATAGTGTGTTGCTAAAAATAATGTTTGAACTGATGCTGTGGAAAATATTCAGAAACAGCATAAAATATGTATCCACTTTCAACATTGGAATATATGCATTTAGGTTTGAAAATATTTCAGTAACTCCTCATCCATACGTTAGGACCAAGATATCAACTTGCAAAGGCAAAGTCAGTGCTTGTGTTTATTATGCATTACAAATTAATTTATTTGAGAATAACCATTGATTTCTTTGCAGAGAGATCTGTAAAAACAATACTATGATTTAGGGGAGGTTACTTTTTCATCCATATGTTTTAATTTTACTGAGGTTCTTAATTCCTGTCTTAGCATTAGGACCTCAATGTATTGCGAAGTATTGCTCAGTACTGTCATTTTAATAATTGTGACTACATGTCAGTTTTACAAGGACAAAGCAATGTTTGAAATTTTCCAGATGTTACTTTTTAATGTTGAGAAATTTTCCCCACATGCAATCTAAACGTAAGAGAGCACTGTTTTTATTAAACCTTTTTGAGTAATATAATGTTTTCTAGCAAAAAGGCCTGTTTCCTCAGACAAAAAGAAAACCACAACGTAGAACTCCTGAGTGATTTTATCTAATAGTTTTTTAAAATATTTTATTATAGAATAAAATGGTTCTGCCCTAAATTATAATACCACAATTTAGTTTGACTTAATGGATTATCCATTAGTGTATGTATGTTAGGAATCTCATTTTCAGAAGCTCTACAAATTTTGAAATGATTTTACAGAAGACAGAGTAAGTCTAGTCCCTGCTGATGGGAGTCTATAACATAATGCTGTCAACAGCCATGCTCTAAAGTATGGATGATAAGATTAGTAAACAATTGAACAGTTTGGAATTCCTTTGGAAAGCCTGTACTCCAGCAATGTGTGTCCAAGGGTTCTTATTCATACACCTGTTGGCTCATCATTTAAAATATATTAGGGCTATATTAGACATGTCTGTTGACGCTTCATTGAGTTAAAATATATTTTTAGTATAAAAGCATTATTTAGATTGCCAAAATTAATTATACATTTTAAAGAAATTAACTGCTCAATATGGATTCAACCAGGTGTTGGCAAGTTAGGTGATTTAATTAGTGATAAGCTTATATCCTTCTAAGGAGTATTGCGTCTAACATTTGTCCCCATTATGTCCTCAATATTGCAAAGTTTAAAAGTTTACTGCCTAAATCTTCTGAGATTTAGTGATCAGCAGCTGTGCCTCCCATTGGGTAGCCAATATCTCTGTGGGGTCAGATACGATAAATTGGGATACAGTCTGGAATAATGCTAGTTATCCATTTAGAGTAATATACAATAAATTACTTCTGTAAAATAGTTTAAACATGTATACTATATATGTTTAAATATATATACAGTAGGATATATATCCTTAGTGATTTATACTATATTATATTTATCAAGCTTAAATATAAAAAGATATCTCATAGCTTGGAGAGGAAAATTAATTAATTTAAACATGTATGGGGCCCTTTAAAGGCTTACTTGAGTGGGTCCGGAGACAAAAAATAATCTTAAGAGAATTTTTGAGAAAATATCAAAATTGGAAATAATAGTTATCTAAAAAAGTGTGGTGTTGGTGGAAAAAAAAACTAGAAAAAAAGTATGGATGTTGTTGACTGAGTGCTGTGCTATGCTGGCCACAAAACCTTTTGCCACATTTTTGCAACATCACTTAAACGCTTTGTTGCAAAGTCAATGTAGGTTCTGAGTAGGGCTGGGCAATATGGCCAAAAACATTATCACGATAAAAAAATTCATAACGGTCAATATCAATAATTATCATGATAAATGTCAAATCATTATTTCTTTCAAGTTTAAAGGCAGATTTTTTCTCCTGAGTGAAAGTTGAAGAAACCAGACAGTTAATTGGTAAATTAAACAACTCTTTATTTTAAGAACACAACAAACACTTGCCAAACAGCAGAAACATTAAACAAATCTG